TATAACAAACATTTCTGCTGAAAAAACAGCTAAAACTAGCCTATGCTGGATGGCTGGTCTTAGCTGGTCTCCCAGCCTGTCCAAGCTGGTGTTCATCTGGTTTTAGCTGGTTGGTTGTTCAGGGTGATGAGCTAAGACCAGCCTGACCTGCTAAAGAAGTGGTCAAAACCCCTTAACCAGCTATGACCAGCTTTGGCTGGTTTCAGGGATTGAAAGGATTCCAGTTACATTTACCTTAAGTCAGTAGTCTTCTCATGCTTATTTTCCCAAATGCTGCCATGTTGCTTTTAAGGGGTAATTAGGCCATTACCCCTTCCCTCCCTCCCAGCCTCTCAAATATATTATGTCTGACAATACAGAAACATTTAAGGGTTAAAAGTTACATAATATACTTATTAACCTAAATCAAATACATGTTCAGCAGTTACTCTACATAGTTGAATTCAAATATGTAATATTTAGATTTTTATATGTGTGTGAGACATGAACTCGTAACAATACCAGAGTAAAGGTCAAAATGTGTAAAAAGATGTGTAAATGTGTAAAATAATTTGTAAAAATTACATCTGACGTAAGAGAATTAAATGTCAAAATGCCACATAAAAGAGCACACAAAAGATTGAACACCTTGACATTTCTTTATTGAAATACTATTCTGATGCGTCACAGTCTCGTATGTTTGTCTCAGAGCTCTAGTTCAATCTTGACATCCATATTACTTTTGTATGGCTCTAGAACAGGCCTGACCTCCTCAGACAAAAACCTGGTAACCTGAGACAAAGAAAAAGTGTAAAGGTATTACAGCTCACATCATTCATAAATTACGTGATAAATATTAGTAGCACGGTAGTGGAATGTTATATAGATATTTCTAGGTTGCATGTGTACCTGTTGTGGGGCTCGGCCGACGAAGGTTTTGGGGTCCAGTAAGGCGTCCAGCTGTCCAAGTATAGGGGTGAAATATGGATCAGCCTGAACCCGAGCCAGTAGGTCATTATCCCTGCCTTCCTGTTTGACTACAGCCGCAGCTTGCTGGGACAGCACCCGAATCTTCTCATGGCAGTCCTGAGTGTTTTTTTGTTAGTACAGACAAAAATGTCAGTCAGCATTAAACATCAGCACAATAAGCATCTATTTCCTAGCAGACCAAAAATGCCACTGCAGTGTCATACAGCTTCATGTGCTGATGTCTGTCCTGCATAAACTAAATCGTGAAATTGTCTGCAACAACTACAACATCTGCTGCACTGACAGAGAAATATTTACAGTGCAAGTAATTTATTCAAACATCTTTAGGTTGATTTGCAACAAAGAATAGTAATTACAAGACAAGATTCTTATATATTTATCTTAAGATTTCTTATTCATTAATCACTGATTGTTCTGACCTGTCTGTTTCCTCCAGCCTTCACCACGGCCATGATGATGTTTTCAGTAGCCATGAAAGGCAGCTCATGACGGATATGTCTCTCAATCACCTATAAAAAAGAAAGAGAATGATTTTAAAAAATATATATATATGGTTCAGGACCAGGTTATAAAAATAACAACTAGAGCTGTCTTAGTTGTTAATGTGATTAATAATGAAAGTTTTCATGTGATTAAACATAAAAGTACTCAACTATAAAGAATAAATTGTCTAATGTAAAGTTTTCTCAGCAAACAGAATATACAGTTTAAATACAATTAATAAATAAATAAATTTCTACCATTAGATCATCAATTAAAACAGATGCATAGGTCAAAGCGGCATTTAATATACAGTGGGTACGGAAAGTATTCAGACCCCCTTCAATTTTTCACTCTTTGTTATATTGCAGCCATTTGCTAAAATCATTTAAGTTATTTTTTTTTCCTCATTAATGTACACACAGCACCCCATACTGACAGAAAAACACAGAATCGTTGACATTTTTGCAGATTTATTAAAAAAGAAAAACTGAAATATCACATGGTCGTAAGTATTCAGACCCTTTGCTCAGTATTTAGTAGAAGCACCCTTTTGATCTAATACAGCCATGAGTCTTTTTGGGAAAGATGCAACAAGTTTTTCACACCTGGATTTGGGGATCCTCTGCCATTCCTCCTTGCAGATCCTCTCCAGTTCTGTCAGGTTGGATGGTAAACGTTGGTGGACAGCCATTTTTAGGTCTCTCCAGAGATGCTCAATTGGGTTTAAGTCAGGGCTCTGGCTGGGCCATTCAAGAACAGTCACAGAGTTGTTGTGAAGCCACTCCTTCGTTATTTTAGCTGTGTGCTTAGGGTCATTGTCTTGTTGGAAGGTAAACCTTCGGCCCAGTCTGAGGTCCTGAGCACTCTGGAGAAGGTTTTCGTCCAGGATATCCCTGTACTTGGCCGCATTCATCTTTCCCTCGATTGCAACCAGTCGTCCTGTCCCTGCAGCTGAAAAACACCCACACAGCATGATGCTGCCACCACCATGCTTCACTGTTGGGACTGTATTGGACAGGTGATGAGCAGAGCCTGGTTTTCTCCACACATACCGCTTAGAATTAACGCCAAAAAGTTCTATCTTGGTCTCATCAAACCAGAGAATCTTATTTCTCACCATATTGGAGTCCTTCAGGTGTTTTTTAGCAAACCTCCTCAGTGCAAGACACATGAAAGACCGCATGGAGTTTGCTAAAAAACACCGGAAGGACTCCAAGATGGTGAGAAATAAGATTCTCTGGTCTGAATCTTATTTCTCACCATCTTGGAGGTGTTTTTTAGCAAACTCCATGCGGGCTTTCAAGTGTCTTGCACTGAGGAGAGGCTTCCGGCGGGCCACTCTGCCATAAAGCCCCGACGGGTGGAGGGCTGCAGTGATGGTTGACTTTCTACAA